ATTCCACAGTTTAGCTATTGTGAATTGTGCTGCTATAAACATTGATGTGGCTGTGTCCCTGTAGTATGCTTTTTTTAGGTCCTTTGGGTATAGACCGAGGAGAAGGATAGCTGGGTCAAATGGTGGTTCCATTCCCAATTTTCCAAGAAATCTCCTTACTGCTTTCCACAGTTCTGACTGCCATTCTGACTGGAGTAAGATGAAATCTTAGAGTGGTTTTGATTTGCATTTCTCTTGCTAGTGATGATGAACATTTTTTCATGTGTTTGTTGACTGTACATCATCTTCTGAAAAGTGTCTCTTCAGGTTCTTGACCCATTTATTGATTAGGTTATTTGTTTTTTTGGTGTCTAGCTTTGTGAGTTCTTTATATACTCTAGTGATTAGTGCTCTATCTGATGTGTGAGGGGTAAAGATTTGCTCCCGAGATGTAGACTCTGTATTCACCTCACAAATTGTTTCTTTTGCTGAGAAGAAACTTTTTAGTTTGAATCCATCCCATTCTTTTTTTTTTTTTTTTTTTGAGAGAGAGAGAGAATTTTTTTTAATATTTATTTTTTAGTTTTCAGCAAACACAACATCTTTGTTTGTATGCGGTGCTGAGGATCGAACCTGGGCTGCACGCATGCCAGGCGAGCGCGCTACAGCTTGAGCCACATCCCCAGCCCCAAAATTTTCAATCTCTAGACCTGCTTTTCAAATTTTATTTCACCATCCTCTATGGAATTTTAACTTCTCTGTCCTTCCCTGTATGTTGTAGGCACCAGTTGTAAGAATATTTAATAGAGTTCACACAAAACCTTCATCGAGCTTCCCCTAATGTTAACAGCATATGTAGCTGTAGCACAGTGATGGAAACCTCCGAATTAGTATTAACATAATACTGGTAACTCAGACCTTTCTTGAATTTTGTCATTTTTACTCTCTTGATGCCCTTTTTTTTTGCATTCCAGCATGTCTCACAATTTAGGTTTTTCCTGATGTTTTCTCATCAATCTACTGAAGTTAAGCATATTTGGCAAAACATCACAGAAGCAATGTGTCCTCAGTGCATCATCAAGAGGTGTGTGAGGGCAGCATGTCTTGTGACTGGGAGATTGTCTTTGATTATTTGATTAAGGTGCTGTCTCCAAGCTTCTCCAGTGAAAAGTGACTGTCTTTCCCTTTGTCAATGATAAATACATTGGTGTTGATACTTAGAGTCTTTACTGGGATGCTGTGTCTTCTCCCAGTTTTGCCTACTGATTTTATCATCATGGGTGGATCTCACCTACATAATAATACCTTACTACTGTGGTACTTACTTAGTGATGATTTTGTATTTTATTCCATGGGTTATAACTCAATTTTAGCACTGTTTATTTTGTTGCTCAGGTTGTTCTAGCTTTGGCCAGTGTGACTCCTCCAGGTTGGTTCCCCTGGCATTCTACATGTCCCCATCTTGTTTGAGAACTAACTTCCTGACACCACAGGATGCTGCGTAGTAACCCTGCATTTTCCCCACCTCGAGCTCAGCTCTGAAGTCAACCACTGCTGCCCCAATAAGTCCAGTTCCTTTTTTGGTTTTCTTTAGAAACCAAGAGCTGTGTGTGCATTAGGTCACCACCTTCTTAGAACCTTGTACGCCCCCCCCTTCCCATCTCCCTCTCTTTCTGACAGCTGAAATGCTTTCCGACTTCACTACCATATAAATACTGGAACTTTTTCCTTTTGTAGCTCTCTATTTTTTTTTTAGTTGTAGATGGACACGGTATCTTTACTTTATTTATTTTTATGTGGTGCTGAGGAACAAACCCAGTGCCTCACACGTGCCAGGCAAGCACTCTACCACTGAGTTACAGCCCTAGCCCTGTATCTCTTCGATAAATCTTTGCTCTTATCTTTGACATATCTCTCACTACGTCCTTGTCCCATATTTTCTACTTATTGCAATTCCAGATTTATTTTCTAATTCCTTTAATGAACACTTTGGGTCCAAGAGCCCCTCTGTGGGCCACAGTAGATACTGAAGATTAACCTTGTAGTTAGTTCACTTTAACACTGACCTTAAAGTGAAGTGAATTATAGTGTGCAGGCAACATGCCTGAATACTAATGTGCTGTTCATTTATTATACCATGTTCAGAAAGCACCTATTATCTTTGAGATAGTGGCATGTAATTAAAAATATAACACTTTGTTTTTTAGTATTATGACTAAATAAAGAAATTAATTGATCTTTGAGAGGTCCTAGAAAAGTTAACTTTAGAGTAAGATTCTGCTGAGAGCAAGGTCATGAGTAATTCCCTTAAAGGAGTGAGTTAATTTTGTTCTGAAGCACATTAAGAAATTGTACTCCTGATCCCAGCTTCCCATCTCACTCCATGGATGCAAAAGGACAGAAGATGGATGATTCCGTCTTTAAAAAAATAAATAACTAACTATCACCAGTACTAGGAAAGGAAACTAAAATTACATCTACTCACAGATGGTGAGTCATCCTCAGTTGGTTTAAATGGTAGCATATTATTACCACAGATGTTTCTAGAATAAAAGGCTGTGTTTATCTTTACAATCAAGCCTTATCTCAATTATTTTAATCATCTTTTTGGATTGAGTATTTATAATAAAATGAATCACTTAAAACCTCTAGGGTTTAATTCACAGAATACTATGATATCTAAAATTGATTGAAAATCCAAGCTGTGTGTTGAATAATGTTTGTATTACACCACATGAGAGCACATTATAGTCTTTTGGGTTAGTTTACTAATATATACTGATAAAATAATTGTTGGGTATATAATAGCAGCTTTGTATGTGAGTTAATGAAAGAGTTAGTTTTAAATTGAAAATGCTGTTCTAGTGAGCTCTCTATGAACGTGCAGAATAGTGTATGCTTATTGATTCACTTTTCTTGAAATATGTAAATTAAATACCAAAAAATTCAGAGTTCTTTCTGGGTACCTTGTGGGTTGTTAAGAGGATCACAGTGCCCCTTACTCATGAATTTGCCAAGCTAATGTCAGCTGAAGCAGATGAGTGAAAAGTTTTTGATGTTTCCCTAGCACTATAGACCTACAGCCAAATTTGTAGAAGAATTATTCTTCTACTTTGGGGCAAGTAAACATTAAAATCTGGAAGCCCAGGGCATAGTAACTGACTCTCAACCAAATAAAATATTTTTCAATCAAACACTATTTGACATAGTCTTCTAAAATATTTGTAGAATATCCTGTGTGGGAATATATACTCTCTGAATAAATCTGTCTATATAGTTAAACAACTTGGCTGCTCAGAGTAAATAGTATTAATATCATTCTAAACATTCTCTTCTTACTGGTATTCCGTGAAGTCTGGGAAAGGCAATACCAGGTAATTCTTTTTTCCGGACCCTCCTGCTTAAACAGAGACTTAAAGAACAAGCTCTGAAATCCTTAGTTGCTTATTTCTCCTTTAGGGTTTGGAAGGAAATAAAGAAAGTCAGTATGTCCTCTGGGAACTGAGTTAGGAGCTGCAGCTCAAAGTTCTCACTGTCTGTCTATAGCAGCTCCTGGCTCCTACTTCACATAGTGTGGAACAATTTGAATGTCATGGTGGCAGGACACAGTTCATCACATTGCATGCATGTTCACAGCCACACCACCTCATATTTGAATATGTATAATTCCCAGGTTCCCTCTTTTTGTCAGTTTAGTGAACTATCTGCATCATATGAAGATTAAGAATTTTACCAGGGCTGAGGGTATAGCTCAGTGGAAAAGCACTTACCTAGCCTGTATGAGGCCCTGGATTCAGTCCCCAGTAACACACACACTCAAATACACAAATGTGAGGTCATGCTTTTCAAGGGGAATTATTTCATGTAAATAAGAAGCTTTGGGATAGTTAAAAGTTACTATTAACCTAACATTTCATTTGCTTAAGACCCTTGGTAAATCATAGGAATTAAAAGTGATAACCAGTTTCACACTGACTTTTAAAGCCTTCATTTTTATATGCTCTTTTTTAGAGTACTTTCATCATTGTCTTCATTTACACAAAGAGAAATATAGAAAGTTACTCTAAAATTTCAAGTGATTTTTTTTGTTTTTGTTTTTGTTTTTCATTATTAGGGATCAAACCCAGGGCCTTGCCCATGCTAGGCAAACACTCCACCATTGAGCTACACCCCCACCCTTTTGTAAAATTTTAATTTGAGGGCAGGGTCTTGCTAGTTGCCCAGGCTGTCCTCAAACTTTCAATCCTCCTGCCTCAGCCTGCTCAGTTGCTGGGATTATACCACAATCAGCTCCAAGCTTTTTTATAGCTTCTTAAATATTGACTTGCTTAAAAACTTTCTCCTGTTGGGATCGCCCTCCTTCCTCTCCATCAAATATCTTTCATTTCTCTGTCAAATCTCTGATTAACCTATATCCTATAAATAATACATTATAATTTACAGATGTGGCTTGACTGTTCATTCTACCCACAGGTAGTTATTTGACTCCACTTTGAACGGGGCACTGCTGGGAATCATTGAGGGAACAAAAAGATACCAACTCTACACCAAAAAAGATAAGAAAAGAAAAAGGTAGAGATAGATAAATAGACAGACAGACAGATATTAACAGGGCAGCTTATGCTATGTATCAAGTGAATGTTATAAAGGGTGTAGAGGTTAAGTTCAGGAGGAAGGAATGGAGATGTCATTGAGAAGGGCTTGTCAGAAAAGGTTAAAGAGGAACCTCGACTCATATTATGTCTTGGAAAGATCCTAGGCAGAGGAGAAATCCAGGCAGAGGAAGTGAGTGGAAGAGAAGGCCCAAGGCAATATCAGCTTGGTACTCAATGGAAACAGTAGGACTCCTCAATTCCCTCTGCCAAATTAATGTGGCTTTTGTCATTCAGTGATACAATAGTCATTAATGGGCTTTCGAACTTTGTGAATGCCATTCCCAATAAAAAATAATTTTTATTCTGTGATGCAATAAGCACATTTATATATATTTATATATTAAAATTTCTTAGAACAGTACTTACCCTCATTAAATCCAATGGACTGTGATATTTCTTTTTTTTTTTTTAATTGCTGGGCAGGTCTATAAAATTAATTTAATGATCAATTGTCATTTAGTGATTCAGAGGTTAAAAACAGTGCATTAAATCAGTGGTTTTCAAAGTGTGATTCTTGCACCAGGACCATCAGCATCCCCTGAAAACTTGTTAGAGATATAATTTCCTAGGCCCCACCTGAGACCCGCTGAATCAGAATATATGGTGCTGGGACCCAGCAGTGGGAGCCTGTACTGTAGCAGGCCTCCAGGTAGTTCTGCTGCCTGCTGGAACTGGAGAAGCACAGCACTAGACAACCTCGCAGCTCTACCCCTGGAACTGTGCCTGGGTCAGTCCCCCTCCAGGTACCTCCCACCTCACTCCTGCTCTAACTTCAGATTTCTTCACCTGAACAGATGGAAGCTCTCACTGAGGCCTGCCCTGGCTGCTCTGTTTCACTTTCAGCACTCCAGTCCTTCTAACCCTACTATATTTTTCTTTTTACATAGCGTTTCTCACCTAGCATACTGTAAGTTATTTATTATAATCCTGCCAGATGACATAAGCTCCAGGAGGTCAGGGGTCTTTACATTTTGTTCTGGAGTATCTGGAACATACTGGACACTTTGATATTTGCTATTTTGGAGGAAAGAAGAGGCAGGAAGGAGAGAAAAGGAAGAATAGGCCTGTTGACTGAGTGAGTGATGGTCTATAATACTGTTTTGAAAACAATTCTTTGAAGAAGAATTCACCATCGACTCTTGAAGAGTCATCTTCCAAGGCAAAATGTAATAAAGAAGCTCAGATGTAACTGGTGAATAGTTATTTAAATCTGTGATAATATTCCACACTCATGCTTTCTTATAGCTACAAAACCCTAATGTGAGGACTTCTGCTTTAGTTCTCCTTATCAGGAAGATAGTTCCTATGTAAATTGGCCTTACTAAATTTTTAATATTTCTCAGGGTTCTCTTGGCTTTTGCTCATAGTGATTTCATTATAGTTCAAACAGAGGGCAATATTCTGATTTATGTTATTAGCATCAATTTGTGAAGTGATCTTAGTTTATTCTATTTCTGGTTCTTTCTCAGAAGGTGCAGAGCATGGTAGAAGGTCTAGCAAAGAGACATTGTGCTTTTTTCTGATTGACTTTTGTCTACCTTCTCCAATGTGAGTAGAGAATGCATGTTCTTAGGTCCTGACAGAAATTGATAGGAGCCTATGCCTGTCACTTCTGACAGTTAGATCAATTTGTTTAACCTAAATCATTCACAATATGCCAGGTTAGCTTCTTGGTTTCACAGTATCCATATGCTGTGTTATAGAGTAATCTCTGAGATGCCACTGCTTTAAGGAATACTGCAAGGTTGTTAGGCCTTTCTCGTACATAACATAGAAATTGCACTAAACAGGGCTGGGCTTCTAGCTCAGCGGTAGAGCGCTTGCCTTGCATGTGTGAGGCGCTGGGTTCAATCCTCAGCACCACATAAAATAAATAAATAAAATAAAGATATTGTGTCCATCTACAACTAAAAATATAGATACAAAAAAAGAAATTGCACTAAACACATGGGTGGTCCCATATTTACTTTTAGGGAGGTTTGTTATTTGTTTGTTCAGTGATACTGAAATTGCACCCATGGCCTCAGCAGACTAGGCCAGTGCTCTCCCACTGAGCTATACCCCAGCACTTTTTTGAGTTGGAGTCTTACTGTATTACCCAGGTGGCCTTGAATTTGTAAACTTCCTGCCTTAGCCTCCTGAGTAGCTGAGGAGACTACAGATGTGTGCCAGTGCACCTGACCTGGCCATTCTTGATAAACAATCAAGATGATATTTGTTATAATGTCTTAAATTATAATGTCTTACAAAGAATTTGGGGGAAATAAACATTCAGTCTATAGCACCTAGTCCAGTGACTAAGAAATGTAAGGTTCACAGTACAAGCATAGCTCTGGAAAATGCTGAGGAAATACTATTCTGTGTGATTTCATCTTTAAATCCCTATTAATTTTGATAGGGTTTTCTTTGGAGAGAAACTTGTGATTCACAAACTAAAATTTCCTTAAAAAAAAAAAAAGAAGAAGAAGAAGAATATAGTATGGTAATTTAAAAAGACAGAGCCAGTTATCATCATTCATCTGTCCCAACCTTAACTGTTCTGAGATTGACTATATGAATGTCAGTGAGACTGTTTCATTGCCTATGTAGTGATCATTTGAGTTATTTATTTCAATTCCTACAAAACACTTTGAACTGTTAATGTATGCCAAAACTAATGGTTACCAGATAGTTATAAAATTATTTATGTCAAGGCATAAGTGAATAATGAATTAGTTTGATTAGAAGAAAAGCTAACAGAACATAATGACTTGTCCTATGGTTCTGCTTATTTTATTTATATTCTCAATTCAGCTTTTTCATATATACTTTTTTAAGTGATAAAATAAGAAAATAATTGTATTTGGTTCTTGTGACTTTTGAAGGGGTATTCTTAATTGAACATAAAGATAGCCCAAAAGTTTCTGAAAACTTTGAAGGGGATATAAGACTTTAAAAAAAAAAAAAAAAAGACAATGTCCACTGTCTTAAATACTAATGTAATACCTTATACAGAAAACTTGGTCATTTGGAGGAATAAGGTCACTTTCTTTAATGATTTTCCTTTCTGAGGCAAATTGGAGGTAGCGGTGATTGACAAATAAATAATCACACTGAGAATGCTGGTGAACATCTGATCAACTGATTCAAACTTCCTGGTACACTGCATTTGTTGATTTTTAAAAGATTCAAGGCCCTGAAATCTAGCCTAATTCTATGAAGAATGTGAATAGTATTATTGCCCAAGTGAGTACGAGATGATTAAGTAGTTCATGTGAAATTTTGTTTTGTTTTCCTGGGACTTCATTACATACGGGTTCTTTATAGATTTCTTGCCTGGGAGCTCCAAGGGCAGTAGGAGTACTTAAGACACTGCACACTCTAATCAGTAGAAACCAAATCTATTTTGAAAACTTAAAAATAATAATATGATTTTTAATCCCCAAGCCCAGTTTAAAATATTAAAATTTAAAGACAACATGCCCCACTTCAAAAATATCCACTGTACAAAAACTCTCATGTTAAAAATGACAAATCATAGGCTTAATTATTTGTGTCCAGAAATTATCTTTGTTCATCAGAAAGATTTCTTGTGGGACTGTGGTGGAATGCTTGCCTAGCATGTATGAGGCACTGGATTTGATTCTCAGCACCACATATAAATAAATGAATAAAATAAGGGTTCATCAACAACTAAAAATATTTTTTTTAAAAAAAGATTTCTTATGTGCTCTTCCAACTAGAAATGATCCTATTACACCTTAAAATATGAACTTTAAAAAAAAAAAAACTTAAATCAGCTTTTTTTTTAGTTAAGTTAAATATGTGATGTATTCAGCATCAAATTATACTGTTGTTCAATAGTCTTAGAATCAAATTGGAAGGAACATATATTATTGCTAATTTCAGAAGTTGTTTGAGACACAGGAATGATAACTTGCTTCTGATTAAACATCATATCTAAAACATAGTCAAGTTTCCCTCTACTAATTAAACCACCTCCAGCAAGGCACAGTGACACTCACCTACAATTCCAGCTGCTCAAGAGGCTGAGGCAGGAGGTTCTCAAATTCAAGGCCAGCCTAGGCAATTTAGTGAGACCCTGTCTTAAAATTAAAAAAATAAAAAGGGTTGGGAATGCAGTTCAGATATAGTGCACATAGAATGAGGCTCTGAGTTCAATCCCCAGAACCACCACAAAAATAACCCCCCTTTTTTTACTCTTTTAATTGAGAAAGATGTCACAATACAGATGACTACATAATAGATATATACTTTTAAAAGAGAAACTACAAGGTGAATATCTGTATGATCAGTGTTATTATCAAGGAATGGAATGTTGCCAACATCCCAGAAGTCCCCACATGCCCTCTCCCCCTAGAAATAAACACTGTCCTTTCTTTGTAGATAATCATTTTATTTTTCATCCACCATCTGCATGTATATTCCCAAACAACATAGTTTCTAATTTTGAACTTTTCATAAATGAAATAGTGCACTATATTTTCCTTTGCGACTTCCTTTTACTCAATATTATGTCTATGAGAGACCTTTATGTTGTTATATAGATTGTTTCCTCTGATGCATTAATATGACATCATATAAATAGTTCAAATTTCACCATTCTACTGTTGGCATACATTCAGATTACTTCAAATTCTGAGCTACTAAAAATAGAAAGTGAAACAAAACTTACAAAATTGAAAAGAAATAGAGATAATCCAAAAATAATAGTTGTAGATTTCAGTTCCTCAATAATAGAATAATTAGTTAGTCAGCAAGAATAGAGGCCTGAACAACACCATCAACCAGCTTGATCTGACTGGTAGAGAGCATTCTACCCAGTGGTAACAGAATAAATATAATCTTTTTAAGTGCAAATGGAACACTCTCTGAGGTAGTCTACATGCTAGGTCATAAGCCAAATTAATTTATAGGCTTGAAGTCATACACATGTGTTCACTGACAACAGCAGAATTAAATTACAAGTCAGCAAAGGAAAGAAGTTTGAGAAATGCCCAAATATTAGAAAATTAAGCAACACACTTTCAGTGAATCAAAGAAGAAATCACAAGGTAATTAGAAAACATTTTTATCTGAATGAAAATGAACACACAACATATCAAAACTATGGTGTTCTTCCAAGTGGTGCTAAGAGGAAAATTTATAGTTTAAAATACTTGTATTGGGGTGAAATAAATCCAATAAATAATTTAAGCTTCTACCAAAAGAAACTAAAAGAAGAAAAACAATTAAGCCCAAAGCAAACAAAAGAGTAGAAATCATAAAGCTCATCAATGAAATAAAAAGAAAAATTGTAGAAAATATCAGTGAAATCAAAATCTGGGGGTTTTTTTTCTTTTTTGAGAAAAACAATAAAATGAATAAACATTTACCTTGAGTAAACACACAAAAAAGACAAAACACAGATTACCAAAGTGAAGACTGAGAGTGGGGATCTCATCATTGACTCTGTATGATAAAAAGAAATGTAAAGGAATATTAAGAACAACTTTAAACCAACAAATTAAACGTTGTAGATGAAATAGGCAATTTTTAGAAAGATGCAAATGATCAAAACTGATTTAAGAATTAGAAAGTCTGAATAGATAACATCACTAGTTTTAAAGTTAAAATAAAAAGAATTAGTAATTAAAATCTTCCCATAAGGAAAAAGCACAGGCTCATGTAGCTTCACTTATAAATAGTTTTTCTTTTAAACAAACTCATACCTTTATTTTTTTGTTTGTTTGTTTGTTTATTGTGGTTGTAAATGAACAGAATGCCTTTATTTTGTTTACTTTTATGTGGTGTTGAGGCTCAAACCCAATGCCTCATGCATGCTAGGCAAGCACTGTCCCTCTGAGCTACAGCCCCAGCCCTATAGATAGTTTTTTAAAAGAAATAATATAAATCTTTTACAAAATCATTCAGAAACTACAGGAGGTAGGAATGCTCCCCAACCCATTCAGTGAGACCAGTATTGCCGTGATAGCAAAGCCAGATAAAGAGATCGAACAAAAGTACCGACCATGAACTTTATATATGTTCATGCTTCTCATGAACAGACATAAACATCTTTTATAAAATATTAGCAAACCAGCAGCAGCAACACAAAGGATATGTACCTTGACCAAGCAATGTTTATCTCAGGAATGCAAAATTTGGTTTGTATTCAAAAATCAAATAATATAATATTCTTCATTTACAGAATAAAGTACAAAACCACATAATCATCTTAATTAGACCAGAGACCAACAAATGATGACCCACAGGCCAAGTCCTATGGGTCATAGCTCCACCCACTCACATGTTGTTTATGATACTTTCACACTAAAGTAGCAAAGTCCAGTAGTTGTGATGTAGACCATATGGCTCACAGATCTAAAACATTTATTATCTGGTCCTTTACAGAAAAAGTGTGCTAGCAGACAGAACTGTTTTATCTTTTCATGATTAAAATTAAAAAAAAAAATAGGAATGGTAATGGGCATATGTGAAAAACCCACAGCTAATATCATGCATGGTAATGAAAGGCAGAATGCTTTTTCCTCTAGGATCAGGAAGAAGGCAAGGAGTCTGCTCTCAGCACATCTGTTCAGCATTGAACAGTGGTTTAAGACAGAATTTTTAAAAATCAAATGTGTACCCACTGGAAATGAAGAAGTAAAACTGTCTATTTGCAGGTGAAATGATCCCATATGTACAAAATCTTAAGGACTCCATAACACAACTACTGAAACTAATAAATGAGTTTAAAATGTTGCTGGAGCCAGGTATAGTGGTGCATACCTATAAACCAGCAGCTCAGGAGATTGAGGCAGAAGGATTCAAGTTCAAAGCTAGCCTCACAACTTAGCAAGACACTGTGTCGAAATAAAAAGGTAAAACAGGCTAATGGTGTGGCTCAGTGGTTAAGTGCCCCTGGATTCAATCCTATGTACCCACCCCCAAAATTAAAAATGTTGCTAGATACAGGATTTGTGTACAAAAATCTATTATGTTTCTGTATACTGAAAACAGTGCTATATTAACAATGGTATACCCAAGAGTGGATTGTATAACATACATATGTTCAATTTCAGTGTCAAACTGCTCCCCAAAATGGTTGTATTAGTTTATGCTTTCATCAGCAGTGTTTCATAGTTTCTTTTTTTACCCAAAAGGAGAAAAAAAATATCTCCTTGTGGTCCTATTTTATTTTCTGCTTCTTAAGAATTACCTCTTGCTTCTGGAAATGCCACTTTAAGCATGAAGCAGTTTTGGCTCCCCAGCTGCCTGTAGACAAACACTGGAGATTCCCCCTCCGTATTTACCCATGTATTCATGTGCCCTGTCATTATGTCCTTCACACTCTTGGACATGCCCTCTCCTCTTGGTGCACTGAGCCATGCATTCTTGTGAAAACATTGCTTGCATTTTTCCATCTCTTTGCCTTTATATGTGCTACTTCCTGCCCTCCTTTGAAATTCTATCCATTTCAAAGGCGTGGCTAAAACCCTTATATCTTTTGTCTCCAAGTTGTTCTTTACCATCTTGTACTGGTTTATTCCACGCTACCTTATGTGTACATATGCATGTGCATGTTTTAATTTCTCTTCATTTCAAGTTCCTTGGTGTGTTTTCTTTTTCTATCTCCCCATAACATCTTAACATAATACACTACCCTGCACAGACTAGCAATCATTAACCATTCTTGAATGAATAAATGCAGCATGGTTGAAAATCAGCTTGGGCATTAATTTTCTGCTTCCAGATATCATGATCTAAGCATCTTTCAGATAATACCTCCTCAGAAAACAGCTATGAAGCCAGGCATGGTGGCACATGCCTATAATCCCGCTAAGGCGGGAGGATGGCAAGTTCAAGGCCAATCTCAGCAATTTAGCGAGGCCCTAAACAACTTTGTAAGACCCTGACTCAAAATTAAAAGGGCTGGCATGTGGTTTAGTGATTAAACACCCCTAGGTTCAATCCCCTGTATCAAAAGAAGAAAGAAAGAGGGGGGGAAGGAGGGAGGGAAGAAAGAAAACAGTCTGGACAAATAATACAAAACATAAAACTACCTGAAGGTCCTTGGAGAGTGAGTAGAAGCAGACTCTACAGTGAGTTAATACTCATTTAGAAGAGGGGAGGTAGGAAGCTATGTAAATACATTTCTCTTTCCATGGCCTAGGGCTGAGTACAATCTGCATAGTTTCCAGCATGGTAATGAGGGGCTCACATGGAAAAACTCTTAATATTTCTGGTCTAGGAAACCACAAAAGTGAACCTGAGAAAGCATGAATGCTCAAGAGAATAGAGGAATCCTCAAAGGGAAAGAGCCAGAGGAGGGATCCCCAAACTATATCTGTCTAGATCTCTGACTGATACCTCAACTGTGTGTAAGAAGCAGACTAAAAGCAGCTCAACCAAAAGACCAGAAATCTGAACTAAAACCAGAGTTGCAGCTCTGAAGCTGGAAAGTGTGAACAGATTCAGAAAGCCTCTTGGGGAAGACTATATTGTTCACTTGGGGATGGAAAATATCAAACTTCCTGTGGCTGAGGCTTTTAGCCTTGGACTTATTGTAGTCATGACACCTACAGCAGAAATGGGGTATATATGAAAAAGTTGCAGCCTCCCTGACCTGGAGAATCAGAAAAGAGAAGCTGAGAATCCAGGAACTCTGAAAATAGTGGAGGAATCCCAGAAAAGAGTCAAAGGGGATCCTTAAACACTCTCTGCCATGTCTCTGAACGAGACTTTGAACCACATATCTACAGAAATAAAGCAGCCCAGCTAAAGATAGAAGATCTGCACAGAGTCAAGAGCTGCTGCTCAGAATACAGTTTGTTCAGTGGTGAGCACTTACCTAGCATGTGTGAGGCCTTGGACTCAATCCTCAGCATGGCAAAAAAATAAAAATAAAAATGCTTTCAGTTCAAACCTAGACAAGAATCTCAACAACTTAACATTAATTTTATTCAGGATACAATCCAAAATTTCCTGACATCCAAGGAATCAAGAAAATGGAACACATTCCCTACATAAAAGAAAATCAATTAAGTTCAATCCCAAAATGAACCAGATGTTAGAACTAACAGATGAGGATTTTAAAGTGACTACTATAACTCTCCTCAGTTTTTTCATAGCATGAAACATTTACAATGCATGAAAATTTCAGTAGAGAAATGAGATGTCTTCACTGAGCAACAGAAACAATTAAAAAAAAACAAATGGAAAAAGGACAGAAATGTGCAGATATGAGATGCTAATACCAAGCAGAATAGCACAAAGAATCTCAAGTCAAGGCACATTAGCATCAAAACTGTTGAAAGCAAGTGAGGAAGACCATGAAAAAAAAAACATAGTACAACACGGTGAGCAGAATAACAGACCAGTTAACATCTCACTTCTCCTAAGAAACCAGACTCTCAAAGAGAGGGAACAAAGTCTAAAGTGCTGAAAGAAAACAATTATCAACCCAGAATTCTGTATCCAGTGAAAAGATCATTCAAGAATGAAAGTGAAATGAAGACATTATCAGGTGAAAGAAAACTGAAAGAACTTGGTGCCAGCACACTTGCTTTGCAAAAAAAATAAATAAATAAATACTGAAGGAAGTTCTTTAGACTAAGCAGAAATGATACCAGATGGAAACTCAGATTTCAGAGAAGAATGAGGACTATTTATAAGAAGTGATAAATGCCTAGATAAATGCAAAATGTTCATATTTATACTTTCATTCTCTCTTCCTTTACCACCCCCAATTTTTAATAAACTATATAAAATTTCTTAAACTAAAATCATCACATTGCCTTTTAGGGTTTAGCATGTGTGTAGATGAATTATATATAACAACTATAGCATAAAGGAAAGGAGAGAAGGGGTATGATCCTGTAGGCTATATACATGAAGTAGTATATTAGTAGTAGTAGTAGTATTTGTAGATATACGATGAAAAGGATATCTATTGTAATCTCTAGGGCAACCACTATAAAAATGTTTTAAATGAATAGCTCAAAGGCTAACAGAAAGATTGGAATACTAAAAAATATTTTTTAAAATCCTCACCACCATTGAGGCAGGAAAGATGGAATGAAGAAATAAGAGAGAATCCAAGTAGAAAACAAAAAACGAGATGGCTGGCCCAAACATAACCACTCAGTTAAGTACATTAAATGTTAATGCATCAACTCATAGACATTATGATTGCTGTATGTATATAGGTGACTCTATGAACAGTGTGATTCTGCAGTCTGTACAATTATACCCCAATGATTCAAATGTAGGAATTGCTAAGATCATTGTAATGTCATATGTAGCTAATAAAAATAAATAAAATTAAATTTTTAAAAAAAATCAACTCATAAGAGGCAATATTGTCAGGTGGATAAAATAAGACCCACCTCCATGCTGTCTACAAAACTACATACTCTGCTTATAAAACTAGTTTGAAAGCAGATGGATGGGACATGAGATACCATGTG